ATAAGCAGAGATTAACACCAAGATTATCACCAGACATACAATCAAGCAGTAAACAATACCCAAGGACTCCACAGTTCAACCCTGAGCTGCACATATTTGCTTCTAATGGGAAAAAGGGCAGGAGTTTCTAGACACCAACACACTGCTCTGTCTAAACTACAGTGATATGTATTTGCTACAGTGCTTTTAGATAATTTTTGTACTGATTTCTAACATATACAGAAACCTCAGGTTAAAAATCTATACAGACTTTTCTCTATGGAGTTTTTTTTCTAGTTTCTTGTCTCATCCCTCTCTCTCTCCAATTCACTGTTCCTTATCGCAACTTTGATATGGTCACTTCATTAGACAGCTTTAGCTTACTTTTACCTTAGGAAGAAGGATGGAAAGAGGGAAAAATAACACTTTCCCGAGCTTCTTGGAATTCCAGCACCTTTGCCAAGCTGTCCTTGCTGACCTCTGGTCTGTCCTTTCCTAATGCTGAAGTTTTTTCCACCACCCAGTTCAGTCTGCAGATCTTTCTTTCAGAACCTGCTTCCTCCTGTAGGCCCTCAGCTGCAATGGTGCCTGGATTCACTCTGCACCTCCAGTCCACATACAACACAGCAAAGTCCAACAACCAGCAGCATCTTTCTTTATTAACTAACATTTATGTCCCTGCTTTCAGGTGTCTTTATCAGTCAGCATGGCACCCACAGATGCAACTTTATTTAAAGACACCTCCATGAGTGCCCACTGGACTCCATGCTTCACCTTATATTTCTTCTGCCTGCCTGCTTATCTATTTCTTTTCATTTAAAACACATGGGGAGCTAGCCTGAGGCAAAGCAATATGCGAACCTCTGCCATGAATGCTTCAGACCCTGCATACTCTTCAAGACAATCTTGAAAGTAAAAGTAATTATGTTGCGGCAGCCCAGAGGTTTGTTTGCATGTGTACCCCACCAGTCCAGAAATCAAGTGGTAGCAAGCTTCTTGAAGTTTAGATTTTGCCTTCTTGTAAATGGTGGTTTTGTGACTGATCATATCCACCATGGCAGTTGTTTTGTAAGAATACCTGTTCAATTGTTATCAAGGAGATAGATATAGGGAAGATCCCTATGCACCTTGGCCTCTCAGAGAAAAGGGGAGATATAAATATGATGGATGGATGGATGGATGGATGGATGGATGGATGGATGGATGGATAAGCTGCCAACATTTCAAAATTCTAAATGTGTTCACAATGGGGAACCACATTACACATTAGCAATTCAAAGATATAGTACTGTGCAAAATTTTAGGCAGGTGTGAAAAAATGCTGTAAAGTAAGAATGCTTTCAAAAATATATATTGTAATTGTTTATGTTTATCAATGTACAAAATGCAAAGTGAGCAAACAGAAGAGAAATCTAAACCAAATCAATATTTGGTGTGACTTTGGCTTCAAACCAGCATCAATTCTTACACTTGCACACTCTGTACACTTGCACAAAGTCAGGGATCTTGTAGGATTAGAGT